TACTATATTATATTATTATTATTATATAGGTGCTCATTAAAAATATTGAAGAAAATATTATCATTGTCGTGTCGTGCCAGTATAATTATTAATTATACCAACATAAGGTTGATATACGATTAATCGAAATCCACAACTCCTATTCGACATTAAATATTATTTCAATAGCTATCAGTTATCCATAGTAAGTACACCTAGTACTTTGTATCACAATATTAACTAAGCTATAATAATTACCTAGTTGATTTGAATGAAGTTTTTGCACCCTGACTTGGAGTGGTTGTAAATTGTAGTTAAATGATATTATTATTTATTACAGTCTGTCCAGCGAGAAAACACACCATGGCGCAAAGAAAATCGGTTCTTCTGCGCATTTCCGCTTCGTTACCCTGCCATAGTGGAGCCGAATTCATTGGCAGGGTGTTGCGTGGTGATGAGAAAATTGGTGTGTTCTCTTGCCGAGCAGAGTATAGATATACATGTATTTAATATAAAGCATTGAGTTCCATAAAAAATTGTCTGGTACCAAAAAATAAACATTTCAAGGGTTTTGGTCGTAGCGGGATCCATGTGTACTTAACAAATAAAAACCAAGAATAACCAGTTGAACCCCTGGTTTTCCAACCTCTGCAAAAACTCTTGAAGAACTGAGAGAAATAATCAATAGGTCGTTGGTATAGTTATCAAGATTTGGGACGAGTTTGGTCATCGTTATGATTTCATACAACCGTCGACAGAGCGGGAGGCATATTAAATATTTGTGGTGGAAAAATGTGAAAAAAAAACTTGATACCTATAATATTTTATTTTGTAAATGTAATAATGTACTAAATATGTCTAACCAGGACATTGATTATGGGGCACCCTGCAGTAGTGTGCATTTATTGGGAGTCCATCGAGATATTTTTCACTGAGCCAATCAAACTGTGTTTCATGGCTACTAGATTGATGTTAGAAACGATATAGTCTTACGAAAAAGAAACTAGTTTTTCGTAATTAAGTACATATTATGTAGATTTTATAAATAACAGAAAATATATTAGAAACACTACAACACTAAAATATTATACACCGCAGTATATTTTGTGCGTTTGCAATTATTTATGTGGGTGGGTTACGATAATAAACAGGTTCTGATTATTAACTATCTAGTCATTAATTGCCAAAGTTGATAAATGATAATATTTGAAAACATTTTAACGACATTTCATGTTACTTAGGTTCAATTCGAGTTTCTTTTATATTCTTACATAAATACCGTCTACGATGGTGTTACTTACTTCACTAAAAAATATTTGGGCACACACATGATATTAAATCTCATAATTCCGTATTGTATAATAAATGGTGCAAAAGATCAGGGCCAATTTGAAAAATATAATTTTAGAAAATTATAATTATTAGAATATTGCTCATTCGTATATTTCTTGCTTATTTATATGATTTATGAGTTGGTAAAAATAGTGCAACTTGTAAATGTTGATATAATTATATGGAATTTATTGTTTTCGTTATATTGACTGAAAAGTAACGTTGGGACGGCTTACAAACAATTATATATTATGGCTAAAATTATAATTTATAACTGTTTAATAAGTATTGATATGGACTGTTATCTATTATACTAATACATTTTACAGGTATAGTTGTGTTTTTGATATGTTGTCATAAATTCAAATTCAATAATGTTTGGGATGATTTTTTAGGCGTTACGTTTCAGTGTCTAAGGTTATCTAGATTAAGTGTTAATAGTCATTACGCGCGATGTAATCCACTCAAAAATAAGTAGGTTATTACCTATATTATATTATTACTAATTAGCCATGTTTTGTAAAACAAAATGGTCTGATGATCACGAATGACTTATATTTTATAATTTATTCAGTAATATTTTGTGGTTTATTTTTGTTTTCTATGTAGAATGGACGCTTTTTATTACTACTCAGCAGTACGTTTTTATCAATAGGTATTCAACATAGATTTTTGTTTTGTCTGCATGTTATTTGAACGAGATGTTTGAATAATAATTTCAAATCATAGTTGTATATTAAAAATATTTCAAATTTCCCCAGAGTCATTCATTTTTGACTAGTCACATATCACACATAAAATATATTACATAACAAATATAAATACTTAAGACTTAGGTAGTGCTTTCATCCGTTACCTATCCCATGAATTGTATTCCTATAAATTTACAGAAAAATAAATAATCCTCTTGAAAACATTAGGCGCTTAAACGCAAGAAACTCGTTTACTGAAAGAAGTCATGAATAAATATTGGATGTCATGAATGTATTTTCGTTCTAACACTACCTACTCCAACCAAGTGTGTACATTATATGCAGGCACATGCTATATTATATAATTTGGAAAAGCGATCGTATAATCGAATTCAAGGATGATGAGTTTTTGTTTTTTGAACCAATATATTGTGTTAAGAAACAAAATATGGAACAACAACATCAAAAATCCAGCGTCGTATTAATAATTAATTAAGACACGAAAAAATGTCAGCAGTAAGTAGTAACGCAAAATAGCTTTGCCGTGTCAAAGTACGTAATGCAGTGATTTTTATTTACTTGATTATTAAATTGCGCGTTTTTTCACAAGAATATTTGAAATTCACAACTGAACTTTAAATTGTGAAGCAAAGTTATAGATTTTACCTCACAAAAATTATCTCCATAGCGATATTAATAAAGTACTATGTTAATAATTATAATTTCATTTCGTTAAAGTTTAGGCGTATCTACCTACATCAACAAAATGTCGAAGTGTTAACGAACTGCTGAAGCCTAGCAGGCAAGAAAAAATTGAATAATAATACGAGTATATTACGCAAAGTGCAAAGACCAATAAAAATTATATTGTTTCGACAATCTACGCGATTCGAATAGATGATATCGCACAAAAACATATAATATTGTGCTTACACGTTGGCTCACAGAAAATATTACACGATTTCACGTAACAGATTTACCTATCAATTGACATAATCTATTAGCGAGTTTAATGATTTCGATATTAATAGTCAATGTACATATTTGTCATTTATTTATTGTGTCTGATTATACAATGTCTCGTCTAGTATCATATGCAACACGTTGAATTATACCCAGCTAATAATACATAGATACCATCCATAGTCTTATTTTTTAACGGCGATCACACATCATATTGGTTACATTTTGTACGTATCAAAAATACTTTTTCAAACACCGAGATATATATATATATAAGCAGGTCCTCTTTATATATGGTTGGATATATTGGTTAGATAAATACTATTAAAACGCAATATCATAAAGTAAAAAAAATGGTTATGTCCAATTTTGTACTACAGCGATTTAAATTTTCTATATTCGTAGTTTCATTATCTGATGAAACATGATACTTAAATAAATGTTTTAATGTAGAAATATCGAATATAGATTAAATAGTGTTTTTAAATTAATGATAATATCTTAACTTTAGATAAGATCGGAGAAATATATGGACCACTATTCCACTGTCTACAAGTAAAATCCTTATAAGTAAAAATATATTTATTTAATTTATATACTAACATCTAAAGAAAAATATTTTGCTTCCGATTATGAAACTAAAAATATAGATTATTATAAAAACAAAAACCTTAAAAATCACGACTAAAATAAATTGTCATGCCAATCGTGCACGATTTTTAAAATTTGTTTTTGTATCGGTCTGTTATAATAAGTAATTTTCTCTACTTTCAACTATGTAAAATACTTTTTCAAAAAGAGTAAAAAAATATATAAGGATATAAATATATAATGAGTTCCGAGTGGCTTATATTGTTAAAAAAAAAACTGCATATAGGTACCCAGTAGATAGTATAATATAATATGATTATTTTAAATAAAAACGGCTGAATTAATCTAACATCTAATCGATGACCAAAGTACGATAAGAAATACATTTTAACACCATAATATTTAAAAAAAAATACCTATGTATTTTAAGAACCCTAATTTTACTCTGATTTTACGAATCATATAATTTTATTAGGTACTAATAATTAAATTATGAAGTAATCGAGAAAAATAGCAATAATAATTTTCATTAAACGTGTTTTTACCATGTTAAGCTTACTCTATTTCCATGTATTAATATGCATGTAATTTATGATGTACTATGTATGTATGTATGTACAATGTATGATGTATACATATTATATTAGGTTAAACAAGTTATGCAATTTTAAGAATTATGTATTTTTCTTTAATAACATAAATAATTATTTCCAGCTCTATACGTATTAATTCACACACAATCTGCTAAAACAATTGGTAAGTATAACATGTGTTAGAAAATTCATAAAAGTGAAAATAAAATATAACACACACTCGATTTATACTCAAGTAATTATTTCATATTTCCGCTTTATCCGATTCGATCTCAAAAAAAAAATTGTTTAAGAGTACGGACTTTGGAAATAATAATATTAATTTTGTGTTCTATTACCAATATGAAATCAACAGTAAAATTTTGAAATTAAATTTTTATAACTGAATTCATAACATCAATAATTAGGTAATAATAATTATTTTTCTGATATAAGTATCACAGCTTTTTGAAGGTAAAATCATTATTTTTTTTAATGCTACTATACTAGATTTAGTAAAAAGGTTGTATTAAGTTCAACTCTCAACGTTGTACAAAAGAAATATTCAATTAGAAATAGTTTTAATAAATCATTAAGTAGGAATTAAAATGAATAAAATTAAATAATAAAGTATATTTTTATTCAAGAGACATAATATATGATGCACAATTAACAATAATTTATGTAAACACATTTTATTAGAGTTTGAATATGAGAAAATTGTTATAATATTAAGACGCAAGTCCCACTTAAAACCACTGCTATTGGATTAAAAATTGTAATTTAATATAAAAATGAATACTAATATTATAAGTTTGTATAAGTGTCTATACTTAAAAATATGATTTATACATAGTTGTGTTCTACTAACCTGGAGTATCATGGTGATGTTGTTGGTAGACGTTCTGGATGGCGACTAAGCCAGTCTCAAAAACAATATCACGACGACGATGAGCAGATCGTAACGGTAACCGGTCCCCTCGCGGAGAACCATCAGAGTCTCCGGGGGGCGAAAATTTCACTTTTTAAGGTCATGGCGATTGATGATCTCAACATGAACAATGTGAGTAATAATAAAAATAATAATAATAAATCCCTCGTGAAATGATATATGATTAGATAGTAGTATAAATGTATAATGCTTCCGGTTATTTTTATTAACGAGTCAACCATTGAGGAGTATGTAGGTATATTATATTATGGTATAGGTGAGACAAGCAAATAATAAACTCATAGCTCTTGGAGTGAATTCAGTAAAATATGGAAAGCATTTATCATACAAAAAAAAAAAAATTATGATAATAATAAAAACTATGGTAGGATTTACAATATTTTATGCATCAAATAAATGTAGACTTAGTACTTACACGTAAGATTTTTTACTTGACCACTACACCTATTACCTATACAATTATAATCACTGTAATAGTTTAATCTAACAGTGTCTAGTACATAGTCTGCAATGTAATTTTAGTAATTTCAAAAATTATTGCACTGGTGTTCTAAAAAAACATAAAACCTATCGGAACCAATAATTGATCAAAATTAAAAATATACTAAAAATTAATGAATAATTATGTATTATTTATATAATATTATATAATACAAATATAATGGTAATAATTTTTTTTATTAAGCATTGACGAATATCGGTTATTGTATAAGTTAACAAAAATACAATCAATAAAATAACAACAATTATTAACAAATCATTTACGTGAATAAACTCTGAAATAAACTATTTTTTTTAAATATTGTAACGAAATATATTAGTAAGAAAACGTAATATAATTATACATTAAAAAAAAATACCTATGTATTATTTGATATTTATTATGCTAAAAATAAATAAGTGTAAGTATTACATTTCGAATATTATTTGTACACATAATGGAAAAAAATTAATTTTCCACATAAACAAAATATGTATTATGTACCTAATAGGCAAGTATACGAACTGTATGGAGGCACAATGCACATTTATGTTTTGAAGTTGGAAATCGACGAAAAGAATAGTTTTAATTCAAGCACCCTAAACCTTTCAACAAATGACATTTAATTTTTCAAATTAAATGAACAGTTGCATACAATTATTGTAAATGAAATATTTTCGTGGTGTAATTATTAGTTTTCTATAAGAATTGTTATTTTTAATTTTTAGTGATTTAGTTTACACAAGCGAACCAATATTACACTACATGGATTATGCGTATACGTGAATATGCAATTTGTATTTTGTTGTAACACCAATAGTTTTATTTGTAAGTAAAAAAAAAAATCAAATTTGGTAGGTCTATAATTTATAATGATAACGTATAATTTTTTTTAATAAAACAATTAAATCTAAGGAAAAATGGCCGTTTTTGATGAGTAACAAAAGAGAAATCCGAAAAAAAATATTAGGCACTTGCTTATGTCTATAATTATATCGCATTCAGAATTTTTAAAGTGAAAAGTCGTTAAAGTACGTTTAAAAAACATATCGCACATTAATTTTAATCGATGTTTAAATGGATAAGCAGGTTTTTGACATCGTTATTATTACTATTATTATCTGCTGAGTTGAGCTCAGAAGCTATATTTAAAAAGATAAGTGTTATCTAATTTATTCTTCGGAAAACGTTTTCCTTGAGCAGACCAAATTATTGTACACGTGCCCTATGCCCCATATGTCACTATCATTAAACTATAAATTAAACCCATAGAATTTTGTATTTTGAAAACAAGGTTTTTCAAATTTCCCAACAAGCAGTAAGAAACATAATTGAATAGCAGCAAATAACAAATCAGATAAATGTGAAGAAAACCGTTTTTTAAAAAAAATTTGAAGGGAAATTTGGATAAACAGACCTCATATTTTAAATAATAGAAAATAGATCTAGCTGATGATAGGTATCATATTTATCCAGTTTCAATTGTTATGAACCACCCAATGCTGTATTATGTTGTTTTATATTTTAAAATTTAATAATTGAAATATATATATAATTAGTTGGTACTATAATAAATAATCAAATTAAAAGGTTTAAAATTGTATAAACAAAATAAACAAAATGCATACATAAAAAAACGATTTAAAATCATTGGTCGTATTTTATTTTAAAAAAAGGGACTAAGGTAGCTGATCAAAAACATTTCGTCAGACGTAATTTTCAACGTTTTTGAAATCTTTGAATTATTCGTTTAATCATCCATCTTGTAGGCACTATGAAAGTCTTTTAGGGTCATTAAAATTAAGATTCTAATCGTAGTTTAAAATTATTAGTGTTTAATTTCCAATCCAAGGACAATTTATTATAGTGTGTAATATTTTTAAATACTTTAATTATTATCCAACTCAAAAATGTATGTCCATAAAATATGGAAAAAAAAATTTTAAGAACTCTCATCATTTTAGAACTAATATATCATTATACTTCTGTACTTGACTCAGATTCTAAATATATAATTTTGTTTTTAACTTAAAATGAAAAATTGTATAAATGATAATTATATAGAATTTTATAAAGTCAAACGAAATTTAAAATCAGGCCATGTGCAACAAAGATTAATTTTTATAAATAACGAAATTGAATTCCTTAACAATATATTCTACGAGCTAAATTAACCCATAAGATTACTCATTACATGAAATGTTAGCAGTACCGCGCTATTCCCATTGTGAACAATAATAACTATAGCTAAATATTATAAACGAGTCGACGAGATAAATTGTAGAAAAAAATGATTTATTTTTCTGGTGATTTTTTGCAATCGCCGCAATGTTTTCTTTCTTCTTTTTCTTTTAACCTGTTGATTATAGGCAACTGATACAGCATATACTCGAGATTTTCTTTTTGTCTCATTGTTCCTTTTGGTGCTCCACCTCCAGGTCTACCCCAGAATTCATTCCAATTTTCATGGTGCTTTTGTCCTTCTTGTATATCTTCTTCGTGCTCGTGCTAAAATTATACAATTAAATAAAAGGCAAAAAGTTTCATCAACAACAGATTTCCCAATGGATTTGTTAGCTCATTGTAATAATCAATTATTTTTTCCCCTTCAATATAAGTTTAAAATAAGTTTAGAAATGTTCAGACTTCAGATATATTATTCGTTCAATCATCATGTCATTGTATCATACATACAAAATATATAATAGCATTTAAATTGTATATAATTACATGTGGGTACTAATGCCAAACTTACTTGTTTGCGTTTTTCACGTCCGCTGATTTGTCTTTCAAGAAACTTGTGATATTCTTTTTCATCTACCAGGAAACTGGAAACAAATCATACAACTTTATAAATCATTTTAATATCATATTTAATAATCACAAATAATTTAATCTAAATGGTTTGCATTATTATTTCATTATTAACAATAACTTATTTAGTTAAAAAGTTAAAAAAATATAATAATCAGTAATAGTTTTAAAAATTTTAATTTCTATTTAAAAATATAACTTGCTTTGATTTAGGATCATAAATTTTCGTTACATCGCTAGTGTGTAAAGGCCATTTATTATCGTGTCTTCTTCTTGCCGCAAGTAACGGAGCTAACTCTACTCCACCAGTAATCGCTTCCTACAAAACATGTTTAATATTTCAAAAGTTTATCGTATACGATAATTTATTGTATAAAAACGAAATTTAAAAAATATTTTAATTGTGTTGCCTACTCATACACCATCGTATTTCATATTATCTGAATTTAATAGTTACAATATTAAATATTAATAACATAATATTATGCATTTCTTAATGATAATTTGTTTGACATTATACACCTGAGGCGACGAGGTAAAACTATATAATTATCATTCATCGTACAATATGGCAATACTAAATTGTTTTAATAATAATATATTTTTTTTTATTAAAGTATTACAATATCTTCAGTGCTTTCTTTATTGTCGTTTGGATGCGATCCCAATTTTAATATCCTTCCATCCACGTATCCCTAAAAATAAAATAAAATATTATGGTTTTACCATTTCAATTGATTATAATGAGCTATGCGTAAGCAATATACGCTATAATATTAAATTACCATGCAAATATTATTATAGTTAAGAATTAAGATATTTGCTTAAGTTCAATACGTATTATAATATTATTATGTTCAAGCCATAAAGCTTAAGCTTATATATAGTTAAAATGTTTGATAATAATAAAAAAACAAATAATAATTTGTAAATAGTATTATAGCAAAAAGCTCAAGAATTTGATAAAGCAACGATAGAATGTATCGTTTGTAGGTAAATGTATAATGTTAATCAATGTTCAGAAATAATTTTTACCAACGATCGAAAGAAGTTTTTTCCAATACTTTTTGGATCTCTCCAAATAACACCCCCTGGGCATGGCGTACCCCAGGGATCAGCGATCGAATTCTAATAATCATTTTACAACTAACCCAATCAATATTAACATGTACAATTTGTTTTAAATATTTAGATTTACACTATGATGAAACTTACCAATTTTTGATCTTGGATCATTTCTTTTCTACGGTTTTCTTCCACTATTTCTTGTTTTTCTCTGACCATTTCATCTGAAAACATTTCTGTATTAATTATATTATGAATTACACCCAAGGAATATTGGCGACAGTTAATTTCCGTTTTATACAACCCAACAAAATGTACACAGCATATTGTTATGATAAATTTATATCAGACATGTACAGTAAATAAATGGGAGGTGCTATTTGCTTAAAACTTATACCCACTAAGTGAAAAGAATTGTGTTGTCACTTGCAATTTTTCATTAAATGCTTGATGTCTGTTGGTTGTTGGATTTAGTTGGATTAAGTTGGTAATTATATTTTAATGAAATATGGTTTTATACCTTATAGTAAAATATATAGTATTGAATTAGATCTTGGGTATGTACTATAATATAATTCTATATTCAAATTTAAATAACTAAATAAATTAAATATAAATATAAAATGTAATTTGTTTTCAATCTATCAATTTATTTTAATTGTGTTATTGTTAATTTAATTATTTACAGTGGCTTGGTGAGGCATGATCGTATGCTCAATTTGTGGAAACGCTCTAAGTGTAAGTACCGGCTGGCCGGCTCCCAAATGGGTGACCCAACAAAATCCTTGCCATACTTACAATACGTGTTATAAAACCAACCCTTTCTCCCTACAAACAGCTTATGGCAATAGTTATAGGGCTATTTAAATCAATAAAAAAAATTAAAAAAATTGATATTTACAAAATTTAAATGTACAGTAATAAAAATATAAATTTTAATTAAAATGAAGCATTATTATGTGATGAACTAGGTGAAAATGATTTTTTTATATTTATTATTATTTACGGAACATTTACTGATTTGTTTAATGTTATGAATCTATAGGACATTCAGATACGATGTTTAACAATATTATAAAAAAAAATTGATCTGTAGTTGTTATTTAGATGTCGTGTGAGTATTAAAATTGAATCCAATGATGTAAGATCATTGTAAACAAAAGACGATTCTGAGCGAAGACGGTCTATCAACCGATATAACTTGGTAAGTATATAAATATTAATATTAATAAAAAGTAATTAAAAATATAGGTATAATAAGACACCCCGACATCCAGGGTAGTTTCCCCTAACAAAATGAGAAGTATGTTGATCCTATGATACGGTATTTTAGCATCGAGTGTCAGTCAATGTCAATGCACAAGATTATATATTGATCATAATAAGCACATACAATCATTCAAACCATTAACAAATGTTTTAAGTATACAATTTTTTCGTCATTTTCTTGCAATCATATTATAATATTATTAATAGCGCTTAATAGTTTAATGGTAGGTAGTACAATATACTATTATGGTAAACGATCGTTAGATAATATATCATTAGGTGAATGGTGATACACCTATAATACACGTCGTATATGAATAATAGATAGAGCTCAATAACTCGAATCTCAAGGGGAATTAGATTACCTAACTGGGAATTGAATTTGGTTTACGGATTCATCGTACACCAACTTTACCTCAAAAAAAAAACTTCAAAGACTTTCGATGTAAATCAAAGCAATAGAGGTTTTCGAGCTATTGGACCGTGGGAGAAGCAATGCCAACAGCAGTTCCTCCCTCGGTTCTCGATAACAAGGAAAAAAAAAGGTTTTCGAGCTATCGAGACTCAACTATATAGGTACCTATTGTTATGTTTAATTTCTATGATTCATTATTTTTTATGACAGACAATATCGACTTGGTAGGTTTTCGAAAATGCGATCAACAGTAAAATATACACGTACATATTATTTGATATTCATTATGAAATATTTTTAAAATTCATTAGTAATCTTTTCATATATTTTTAAGTATTTGAAACACTTTTTAAATTATTTTAAAATTGTTTGACTCTTCTAACTTATTTATGCTTATAATAATAGCAATAATACACTGATTAACTACAAGGGCCACATAGAAGCGACCTATTTACATATTATTTACATATTTATTAATTAATATTACAAATTGCATGTCCACGTCAGACAAGACATGTCATTGTAGCAAACAATTAGATATTTTTCTAATATTTTTTAAACAGTTAATATAAAAGTATACATGGTTAGTGAGTAGTGACATTTATGGATTTTTCAAAACATAAACAGTTTAGTTAGTTCATAAACAATTCTGTTGGTTCAGTATTTTATATACTCCACGCGTGGCACATCGTTGTGTTGCCGAGGTGTGCGTTTTTCAGGCGTTCTTATTAATTTTTTTGTTTTTTTTTTACGGTTTGGATTAGTTTTGTTCAATCACGCTTTGATTAGGTTATTAAGTGGTTATTATAATTGTATAACCTGAAGGTGTATTTAGCCTAAGACTGTCGATTCTAATGAATATAATATAATATTCATGATATACAAATAATACTTTCAGAAAATTAAAGCAGAATGTTTTTGACAAATAATATTTTTTAAATATTGAACTGTCTATGTTTCTAATAATTTATTGTATCTTATATTACGTAATCATGTTTTTCGTGCACTAGGTTATAGTAAATATTATTACATACGAAATTTTGTCATTTTCGTTTCCTTAGTAATTCACTAAACGTTTGGGAAAAACTAGGAGCTCAACTGTAGAATATTACGCAGAAATTTCATCTAAGTTTGTTTTAAGATTTTTTTAGTTATTAACAAAGCTTCGATATAACAAAAGTTTTTCGAATCCGAAGGTTTATCAATGATTTTAAATTTATAATGAAAACCCATCTGTGCTATCCTTGCCAGAAGTCTTCGGAGTGTGATATGTGTACACGTGTCAAGTCCAATACCTCGCAATAACTGGGCTCATTTTGTGTTTGAAATGTACTAATATCTAATACATAACTTGACAAACAACATTAACTAAACATCTATTTCAATATCTATTTAAAAAATGTATCGTTTTTCGATTTTTTTTACATAACTAAAATAATTTTAAGTAATTTTATTTATTCATATGTTGTTACACTCCTAAATATCTGAATTTTTTGTAATGTTATACACTATACTATAATATTCTTACCCAATTCCAACTTATATGCTCTTTGGTCTTTCAATGGCATTCTGTATCGAAGATCGTTGTCAACCATATTTCTATCGGGAGCATGAAATTGAAACCTAAGTTGTGGGTCTTCGATTCGGAAGTTTTTGATTTTTCCGGACGACGTCTTTTGAGGTGCACCACCTCCTGGTCTCCCCATTTTTGTCACTTCATTACTAATTTCCTGAAATTTTCTTTATTAATTAATATCATTTTATTTAATGACTGGTATCCTAATACATTATAATATCTTAATGTACCAAAATATGTACATTATGTTTTTTGCAAATATTACCGATGCTATGTTATGATAATATATCGTATAGGTACCTATCTATACTTAGATTAATTCAAAAAATTATTTTACAATATTAGGATTCAAGATTTATTAGTAAATTATATTTTCAACATTTCCTAAACTGAATATTTATGTTTATTCTATAAAAGAAGTATATTATGTTATCTTGAAACTATGTACCTATAGGTGCTTTTTAGTTTCCATACTTCAACACTAATGGTATTTACATTCTAATAATAGAACCTATAATGTTGTCACCCAATTACAATAGTGTATCGTATACTCGTATACTCGTATCTACATTATTTTATAATAATATGCGATTTGGTTCATAATATATTGCCAATGGAAAGAAAGTACCTATAATATTATAATATTTTCTACATTGTGTTTTATGTAGTACATACACTGATATTCCATAAATAATAATGTAGTTAGGCTATTAAATAATAAATTCGATACAATACTATTCAAACAATATTTTATAAGTAGTATGCACTTTAATGGCTTGTGATTTGTTATAGGTAACACTAATTGAGTATCTACCTATACATGATTTATGATTGAGGTATTTTATTTATATTATTTATACCTACTTATATTGAGATAATTGTCTATAGGGAAGACTGCAAAAAATCTAGTTAAATTTGTTGATGATTTACTATATATTTTAAAATATTTTTCTCTTCCTCACAACTATAATAATAGTGTGATTATTAAAATGTGTGTGTAAACATTATTTTGTACTTCAATTGCACGTATGTGTAACATGGTGCAACTTTAAAGTTTCCATCAGGCATCAGCAATATGTTTGGTGATTATTTTTTACTGCTAACTTTATTTAATAAATAGAACCACTGTATTATAATATAATATTATTATATCATTATATATTTATATATTATATGTATATTGTATAATAATAATGAAGAATGTTTTTTCGTCGATTTTTACTTAACATATTATCTTCACATATAAAATTATAATACACTTATTGATATTATCTCATATTATAATAATTTGTAATGTTGTAATGAATGTAAAAAAAAAGTTTTTAAGATGGTTTTTTTTAAACATATTAAAGTGAGTTTTTATAATAAATAAAACAAATAATTATTTAATGTGGGAACTGTAAAAATTGAATTAAACTTTTTCGTAATCAATTCTATATTGATTTCTATTTATATAAGTATACATACATTAATAACATAATATTACGCATGGGTATGTAAAAAACATGTTTATTATACCACAGGTACCACCATTTTAGCACAATATAGAATAATATAAAAATAAATCCCACGACCTGCAAGAAACTTTTTTTTTGTGCTGTATAATTTTATATGCCAAACGGACTATAATACCGATTAGCGATTACTGACACGATTTTTTAGTTTATGACTTTTATATTATATTTTTTTATGTAAGATTATTATAATGGTATGACTAATCACTGTACCTTCCAAGGAGGAGACGGAGGATCTGCAAATATTTTCCTTTTTCGAAGACCATCGTCGTTAGGAGCACCATTTCCAGGTTTTCCCCAAGGATAGTAATCGTCAACAACCGATGAGAGAATCTGGAAAAAAATGTATTACAAAAATATCATATTATTTTTTTACACGCTTGAAACACAACCTATATTATATTATACAATTTATAATGAACTCACTTCTTTCTGCTCATCGCACGTGCGTGTCACAGGTTCCTTTTTCCCAGCAGAACAACGATGACACTCATTATCAGGCATTGTGTTGTCACTAGACATATTACGCATAAATAATTATGAAGATGAAGAGTTTAAGACGGACACAATCACAATTCACAACGGTACCTAGAATACCACTAAAACATATCGGCACGTTCCTTCAGATATACCCACCGAGGATTTATACAGGTTTGAGCTTTTTAGGGAGCAGTCAATTGAATTCAATAAAAAAAAATTGTTTTGACATTTTTTATTACTCAACTAATAGTAAACATCAACAAGTCTATTGGCTCTTATTTAATAGGTGCAGGGTGAAGTAATTACTGTTTAACCTCGAAAACTGAGTTTATGGTTCAGCGATTACGGAAACGACATTTTTTTGCACAAGGATATAATAATACTTTGTTAAGTATAACATAAGAAGGTTCATGGTGTCGGTGTGTTTACTTTTTTTGGTCACTGCGTACTAGATCATATTACTTTTGTGTTCATTTTTCAAAAAATTTCAATATTTTGAAAAAATAACTATTATAATTTTAGTTGTCTTAATTATTTATGATGTAAAAGGTACCTATTACAATATGTAATTTTAAGTTTGAAAATTTTGTATTTAAATTTACTATTGTCATTAAACTTATTTTAAATTTAAATATTTCGAAAAAAATATAATTACATATTAATATTACTGTACAAAAGTTCCTATCGTATTATTGTATGAATTAAAGTATTAAGTACGAACAAAATGCCTATTTAATTCAAAATATTGACTTCATGTTTAATTTTCAATTTTATAACACTTTAAAAGTGAATGCTGACTTCTGTTACCGAACAATATAGGTAAGCTATATTAAATTCTTTAATCATATATTATTGTATTTCATAGAAAAAAAACTATTTTCTGATTTCAATATATTAGAATGTATTTAAAAAATAAATACATAATATAACTACCAAGGATCATTTAGACGCAATCATTAGATAACTATTTTTTTCAGATGTCCTAGATTAAAATTGTGTAAAATGTACTCAAATGTTACAGTAATTATTTAACCAAATCAAAAAATTTAATATTAATATGTTTTATTAGAGTTTGCTGCCTTGCATTTATTTACCTGTACTCACTGCTGTGTGTTGGCATGCACGCCCTTGTCAAGAACTACAACTGACGATCGAGTGGGTTACGCGGAGTATTGAAATTGAACTTTTAACGACGAATTGTGCTCCGCCTGGCACCGAATTCTATAACCAAAAACCATCGGCGCTATTTATTATATACAATAAACGAAAAACAGGTCGAAGTGACACGATCCATTTATGCCCGTACTGCCGCACTTTCCGCCAAATTCGTGACATCCTCGGAGTTTTTTTTTTTTTTTTCATTACAGTTTGTTATTGTTATCATTATTATTATAATATTTTTTGCGAAATGAGATTCAAATGAGTGGTACACATGAACGTAGTTTACTACGAATTTAAATTGCGAAACGCTAAGGAACTAGAAACAATAGGAGCCACGAACGCAGTAACATCGCTTAGAATTAATATAACTTTTATCGTATTACATTGTTCATTTTATTATTTTAATCTAAACATGCCATTTTTATATTTGATTTATAGGCAATAGGCATAATGCTATGTACAATACTATATTTAGTTATGGTTAGCATATAATATACATACTACATCGATTATCAATCGTATATAATATATACGATATTATTAGAATGCTGGTAATGCGTGAAATGTATGTTTTTGGAGCAGCATTGGCCCATTTATGATATTTATATAATACTAAGTTGGAAAACCTATTAATACCGGTTCGGAATTACCAATATAGGGGAGAAGGCGTTTAACGATTGGATACACGAAATAAGTTTAATTATACCACCTGAATATTTTAATTTCTACATTTTTATGAATTTTTTTAAACATTTATCTGTAGATAAAATATAATAATTTACATATTCAAGAATATAGATGTGCTCCGTTGACATAATTGGAGCTTAAAACAATTACTCAAGTACTTATTTTTAATTTTTTCTACATAATATCGTGTCTATTATTGAGTTAATTATTATAAAAGTATTTAAACCAACTAAAAGCGTAAAAATACGGTTTGTTTGTTATTATTACTAGTTTATTAGAAAGTTTTATGTTGTACAATTGGATACACTGTATGGACCACTAAATAATTTTAATTTAATTGGTTGTTATTTATTACATTTTCTTTTACTAATATTAAACAAAAAAGATATAAATACCTAGTTATTTTATTTTTGATAAAGGTATTTAATATTGAATATGCCACATAATACAGTAAGTTCTTATATACAATTTTAACATATGTAAATATTCAGAGTTAAATCTTTATAATATAAGCAATAAATATATTGAATGTTGATTGTAAATACAATATTTAATTTAATCTGTCTAATGCCATTATTTTTAAAATCCGTGTATTTAGTCTTATAATTAAAGGGCTTCACTGAGATCGAGGGAAAAACTCCTTATCGGCAGTTAAGAAATACAAAACCAACAGTGATTATTTGCACTGAATGTTGATGTTGAATTGAAATGTTTTTCAATAATGATTCTTTTATACTTATTTAAAATAGTCATAATATGCTCTTGCATACCTTTAAATCCAAAATAATTTTTAAAGAGAAAAAATAATAAAATTTATATGATTTATTTTTACACACGCATATTCTTGTCAACAATTTTATTTTTTAGTGATTTGTAATTTATATGTTTATAATTAGATTTGTGATGTCTGTATATATATTTATATTAAGTTAGTTATTTTTTGACATATCAAAATTACTAAACTACTTACACTATTTAATACCTAGGTGACTAGGTGGCTATATAGGTACCTACCTACTTACCTATGTTATAATATGTGTACACACTACACAAACTATAAAATATTAATATATTTTATAGTTTGTATATTATTTTAATAAATTGCATTTTTATTATGTTATATTATGTAAACGAAATTTATTAATTTAACTAGGTATTAAATAAATATACTTCAATCAAAATGTATTTATTTATTTTAACAGACAAAGCCCAATAACAGTTTTAAATCGGAACATAATGACAAAATCATTTAAACAGAAATAAAAAAGAAACAAAAATACAATACAATACAATACAATACAATAATATAACATTTTAACAGAGTAAGATTAATAGATACATAAAATAGCATATAATTAATAAAGTATAATAATAAAAGTAATTAAACATGTAGGTATTATACATGTACAACAGTGTTTAAATCCATGGGCGTTTGTAAATATAGGTAGGTACATATATTTTGATTACTATAGAAAAAAGTTTTGTGTCGATTGTTTTTATTCATATTATGTTAATTATACAATTTTACTTTTTATTCGGTTATATGATTTTATTTCAAAAGTAATGTAGTACAGTAAAATTAAAATTAAATTAAATAAAACTTAAAAATGAAATTCAATGAAAATCGAGATGGAGTATACCTTTTAAGAAACATGTCTTCGACAAGTAAGTGATAATAATTGTCTGAATTTAATATCCCTTTAATATAAATTTCTCATACTTTTAGTTGATACTATCTTTACATATTACAAAACGTAATAAAACATTCATTTTAGTACTTTTTTAATGTGTTTAAACATGTCATTACAATTGAGCACTAATAAAAACACAAAGAGAAATAATCGTATTGTGCACAAATTTGAATATTTAATTTGTATTTTTGTACTATGTATGTGTACAATAAAGTAAGATATTAATAAAATATTTTATATAAAAGTAGTACGTTTCTCTTACAACAATCAATTTTTTTTCAACAATTTATGTACAGTAGTTCCTATAGCCTATATAAGCATGCCGCTCACTATACGTTGGTAGGAGGTAGTCATGATGTCTGGCAATTACATGCTATGTTGTTGGTCAATATTTTGCTGACCTTCTACTATCAATTGTCATGTGCTTTTAGTGTAAGAATAAAATAATCAATTTTCTTAATGTAAGAAATCCTTGAAACAATTTCAATAAAATATTACATTAATTGTTTTTATAGTCAAAATATTGTCATAATATTAAATTATATTAACTACTTATGAATAGCATCATTTATTGGAACGAGTTGGCTTTTGAGCGTTAACTTATAATTACATTTAACCTACATTTCTTATTACAATAATTTTTTTGATGTTACGTTCAACCTTTGAAAATTGTAGTTGCATGTAAACTAGACACACTTATTGTATTTATAATTTAGTACCGAAATTGACCATATCAATAATTAATATTTAATAACCTATTGATATGTAATAATTACAAGTTGACTATATAATATGTACCTATTATGTTATATTATAGTAACCATAGTTGTTAAACAAATATAAATGTATAATAATAATTTAAAAGGTATAAATAAATGTATAATAATTGCTCTATAATCAATCCAAAATTTAAAAAGATTCATCCCTAAATAAAATATTATATTATTATATTATAGCATAAAATATGAAGTATATTATGTACAATTTATTTTGGGTATTACCGCAGGCCGTAGGTATAGGTAGGTCACAATAATTCACAAGCTTGTGAGTCACAGATAATTTAGAAAATAAATAATAAATGTATTAATGCTATATAATATAAAACTCTTGATGATTTTATTATAGCAATATAATTACGTACAAAATATTACTCTTAAATTTATAGGTACCTATAATCTCTGTTCCTTACCGAAGTAAATACTGTGTTTGATAGTAGTTTATTGTGATTTTTAGGAAAATAATAGTTATTTTATAATAATCCTTATTATAATAAACCTTTAATAGTTTTTATAACAAACTTAAGTAAAAATTATTAAAAAGTGTAAACTCTAACTATATTTTATAAGACTCTAATGAGCGTCTCGGCCGTATATCTGATGCGGGGTTTCGGGAGTTTTGTTGGCATTTTTTCTATGTTTAATAATTATGTAATAAATGGTATTTTATGGTCGGATGACGATAACTCATTAAGTATATTGCCGTTTTTACACGAATTTGGCTTTTGAACAGTGGCGTAGCTAAGAGGGGCATTGGGCGGAAGCCCACGTCTCTTGAATTATTTATTGGTGATGTTGTAATCATGGTTATATATAGCCTATAGTGACTTAACTATGTGTAATTGTTTTTTAAATGTTTTACATCTGTAACTGTAAATATTTTAGGACTTATATTTATGATACGTTTAATGTTTAGTACCATTTTTCTATAAATCTGGTCTGTAAATACTAAATAGGTAATAAACTAACACAGAATTTGATGAGAAGAAAATTAAAATTGAACCACAGTAGATATTATTATATTAAGTATAATAACCTTCATTATATTGCGTCTATATGAATGTATGAAATATGAATAATGAACTTCAAATATTCATATCTATGTGAAAATGCTTATCATTCACTGTCCAAAATAATTAAATTAATAAGATTATTATAATAGTATGT